TTTTATTATAAATTATTTGCTCAGAAAATGTTTCACAAATAATTTACACGCAATGAATTATTTTTGTAAATTGCAGTTTTTATAAATACTTTAGGTTTGCAAATAATTGCTTTAGAATTTCATATTTTAAACCACATTTTAAAACGCTGCGCCATAGAAGCACAGCAACCGAAGTTTTTAACGAGAAATATGTTATGTGAAAAATGTGTGCGATGGAGCTTTAAAAAAAGGAATTTTTTAAATTGCGCTGTGTACGTGAAAGTGTGTTCGCGATGGTTCCACATAAAGCCAGCTTTCAAGATAAGTAACCGGTGTTAAATTTGATATATAAACTAGGCATTATAAATGGAAGGTACCATTTTTTATACCTGTTTCTTTGCTTTTAACAAGTCTATCGTATTTAAAAATGTTATAATTTATGATCATTTACTACGAACTGATAAACGAAACAGAGAGATGTGCTAAGGAGCTCACAACATTTCTTCCTACATTCTTTGTAGAGCAGAATTGACCGCAACATTAATCTTTCGTTAATTAACAGAATTAATTAACAGTAACTTCAGAAATCTCCTCTGCTCACGAGGTTGCATTAGGGTCACGTTACTCTATCCGCAACTCTGATTTCCAGATTGTAGTTACTTGTCATTATGTTTGCATGGCTGCGGTTTCGATACCTGATCTCCGGTGTCACGTTTCGAATACGAAACAACGATTCGCGAAATAAAACTGCAGCTACGATCCATTTCAACTCGAGAAAAGGTATTGGTCGCCGCATTTGCCATTTGATATACCCTTCGAACGCTCGCTTCTTCGATATAGCAATTTCGTAGAGAGCGTCTTTGTTAATTTGAGCAGATCTAATCGTTCTCGAGTGACGACAATGGGAATAATTATGCTCGCTAAATAGCGTATGTGTTGTTGCTAATTACAAAAGAAATTAAACTTTCGAAATTTAATCGCGTTAATCTGGTAACGCAAGCTCGAGTAACGAAATTAGCTGCGTAAATCGGACATTTTTCAATTTCCATTATCTCCCGCTGAAAATTATAATAGAGCGATGAGCTGTTTTTTAATGTTCCTCTTGAGCCCAACCGCGGCGTTTTTTAGCCGGGGCGTAAAACGCAGCGGAAAAACTTCTCTCGTTTCTCACCGAGCCGACTTGCCTCGCATACTATATCATAAAAGCTAACGAAATCTTGCAGGCACACGCTCTCCTCTTACGCTTCTCCTGTGAAAAGTGTTGACTCTCTCATTTAATCATCTAATTGTCGCGTAATACTCTTATATGCTAATTTTATATTAGCGAGATTTCGCTCGGAAATGACTTTTGTAATTTTTCACGTATCATATTTTTCATAAGATACATTTTAAAATAAAATCGGGAACGTTAACGATATAAAGTAATCTTTAATTGGATCAGAGAGTTCTAAGGAATATTTCACTTATTTCTTCGTACGATTTTATCACCTTTATTAATTCAAGCAGAAATAGAGCTGATTTAATAATTAAGAAAATTCCCTCATTTCAGTTTTCAATGTAGAAGGGATAAAAATTTAAAAATGGAAAGAAATAGTATCGGCTATCTATAAATGTGCATGGTAACATAGATGTCATTCGCAAATGGAAACATACGATCGCGCTCCTTTACATTCGCGAGTCTACGCTCTATCGAACGTCAGGTAACTTGAACTATAAATATGTATTTCACTGCGGGAGATATTTTATGCTTTTTCAAAATGAAACACATCGAGGAAGTTGCCGGTATACGCCAATAGCTGCGTTTCGTTTCAAGGATCATAACGAAACCTCGAGTGCATCTTCGACAAATTGATCGAAAAATTTCTCTTTCTTCTCGCTCGGAAGTCCCACTCAGTTTCTGTCTGGCCAGGAAAATATATTCGATATATACGGGAATAAAAGAGTTACGAGGCAGAAATGAAACCGCGACGCGAATCAAAAGCAGTCCCAGCGGTCGAATTCTCCGATCGCTTTTGTCGTCGGGCAGGATCTTCGATTCTCGCGATCTTCACTCCTGACGAAGTCAACCGCCGGCAACCACGGCCCTCCACTCGACGAGAAGGAAGAGCGAAATTGAGTTTTGGGATTATTATCTTGTGATTCCATTTTCCAGCGTGAGACGAGCGTGGTCGCCCTCGGGCGTTCGTTTAAGAGGATCGCCGAGAGCCCTGTGGTCGCGTTTTTCCCGTCCGCGGTAGTTTCGCCCCGAGATGATTATGTTTCTCCCGAAAGTGCTATCTGTGAAAAGATCTCGACGAAATTGTCTCAAGTTCTGCATATGGTGCAGTTTTTTAAAGCTCATCGATATATTGCGACAAGTACAAGTACGTACAAGCAAAGGTCTTTTATAATTTTTTTTTTTTTTATTTATTTCAAGCATCTCGCATCTATTAATTACCAACAATTACGGTATCGTACCTTTAAAAATTGTAAGAGTTACTCGTAAATTGTTGTACATCGTGAATAATTATGTTAAACGTTTCAAAATTTTTTATCGCATATTTCGAATAAAATAAATAACTACAGATTTAATTAAGAAATTGACGAGGGTAAATGCAACAATTTTTTTTTTCACCTGTTCTCGCAACGAATCCTAGATTGCATTTGCGAATTGCGGCGGCAAAAAATGTTTCCCCTTTGAGAATAAATGTTATAGATTTTTTTCATCATCGCTACTTGATTAGCAATTTTCGCTCCTCATTTTCAGTTTCATGCGATTTCTTTATTCGTAACTCACCTCCTCATAATAATTTTCGTTCATCTCGTCTCTCTTCCCTTTCGCAGTCTGTGCCAATTTAATCCGCTTCTCTACCTAGCTGGTTTTATTTTTCTGTTATTTTTATGTCTTCTCTTTCGTTTATCTCTCTCTCTCTC